TTTAAGACCCTTTTTTTTTTTTTGCAAACAATTCAGAGATGACATTAATGTAATACAACTTTGCATACACTACACATAATGTATCAACAATACATCCAATGTCATCTGAACATATGGAAAAGAAGAGAAGAAAAAAATAAGTTGACAATGACTGTTAAAAGCAGGGCTGTCCAAACTCGGTGTCCTGCAGAGTTTAGCTCCAACCCTAATTAAACACACCTGAACCAGCTAATCAAGCTCTTACTAGGCATAGAAACTTCCAGGCAGGTGTGTTGAGGCAAGTTGGAGCTAAACTCTGCAGGACACCGGCTTTGGACAGCCCTGCTTTTAACAGTCATTGTCAACTTATTTTTTTCTTCTCTTCTTTTCCATATGTTCAGATGACATTGGATGTATTGTTGATACATTATGTGTAGTGTATGCAAAGTTGTATGGACCGAGTTTGGACAGCCCTGGTTAAAAGAGAAAGATGCATTTAAATAGCTTTTTTAAGAACATAAAGAAAGGCAGGAACAGAACAAATAAAGAAAAGAGGATTTTAAAAAAATGTATAAAGTATTAATCACAGTACATGAAAGATCTCATCATATCTCTTCAAAAAAGAAATACATTTTTTGTTATTTATTACTCTTAGTGATTTAATTAAATGTTCTACTTCACATAAGAAATCAATAAAAGTAGGTATTTTCTTAAGAAACCTTTGTTTGTTAAAATAGAATTTTGCCAGAAGGATAAGAAAGTTAGCAGTAGATTCTAAAGATTTGTTTTGGTTTTCAAAAAAGCAAACAACATCCTTAATGTGTAAATTACAGTTCATATTAACTTTAGAAAAACAATAGGAACTCAAATCTTTCCAGAAAAGTGATGAAACATTACAAGAGAAAAATAAATGACAAATATCTTGGCTCTCTCGTGACCCTTTTTTTTTATTGCAAGAATAAACACTTAACAATTAATGTAACATTGGATGATATTATGAATACAGAAATTATATAGGAAGACAAAGAAGAGAGAAAAATAAATAAATAATAATAATAAAAAAGAAACAATACATAGATAAAACAGAAAATACAGAGGTAGTAAATCAAGAATTATGTACCATTCAGCAGATCATTATACAGTTTCACAAATGTGACACTTTTTTTGGTATTAATATTTTTTAGTGTTATAATTAAGTAGTTAAAGTCACAAAGAAAACTAGGTAATTTTGGAGATGTTGAAGAAAATGTACATTTATGAATATAATATTTTCCCAATAAAATAAATACATTTCCTATATATTCTATGTTATGTTTACAATGAGAAAAATAACTAAATATATCACACATAGTAACATCAATGTCTACATTAGACTTTGAAGAAAATAATTTTGACACGTCAGACCAAAATTCCTTAACAAGGGGGCATTTGAAAAAAAGATGATCAATAGACTCAGTGCTGACATTACAGAAATTACAATTCAGATGAGGATTACCAAATTTGGATGTAATCTCATTAGTGGGGTATATATTATGCAAAATCTTTAAATGTAATTCTTTTACTTTGTTGGGGACACAGAATTTATAAGGTAAGAGCCATGCTTTTTTCCAATTAATCTTATCTATTAAAGATAAAAATCCCCTTGGAGTTATTCTTTTCCTTGACTGAAACACATTTCTTATAATTGTATTATTACATTTTGGGTCATAAATGCACTTGGCATCAACCAAAAAATTCGGTTCCCTTTTTATAATCTCTTCAAATGATAGATGCCATTTCATTAAGTGAACAAGGCCATTAGGTATAGCTTTAACAATTGTAAGAAATTCCTTATGAACCACAGGGAAATTGTATTTAAAATATGAAATCACGATAAGAGTAAACATTCCCTTGAGGATCTAGTATATCACAAAGATAATTAATACCTTTTTCATGCCAATTCTAAAGAAAAATCGACTTGTTCTTTACTAAAATACTTTCGTTGTTCCATAGCTTCACTTTATGCGGGGAGTGCCCTCAAGACCCTTTCTATTCCTCGCCTATTGTAATGAGACGTAGCTGATGTGCAATAGCTTTGGTAGCCAGTAGGCGGCGGAAGAGGACGCTGAATTTGAACGAGACAAGCGGTGGACGATCTGTTTGAATGGGACGCGCTTCACTGGTCATATCTACCGAGAACTCGTGCAGTCTGTAGGCACCGCGCTTATATATAAATGTTAATGAGGATATAGACAAGTTGTTATTTTACACAAACTTCAGTATAACATGGGCCGTGTTTTACCTGTGATTTGTCCGTTTTCATTATCCGCAAAGATTTTTAGTTTTTAATTAGGCTGTCACAAAGAGAAAAATTAATTGATCGTGGAGAATTTTTTTTTTTTGACGGGATATTCATCGATTCGGGCGTTGTTATTACATCTCTGCACATGTGGTAAGATTATTTAATAAATCTTTCAAAATAATAAAGTGTTAACTTATTTGAACGTCTGTAGTAGGCTATCTTAGGCAGATCTTTTTAACTTTTGAATTTGTTAATCACCTTTTGCTACTGTGTTTCAGTTAGTGCATGTTTTTAAATGCTCACTTCCTCCTTTCCTATTCATCACCAACTTAGTAAGTACATACTAACTTACTTAGTATGCCCCCTTACTTAGTATGTAAAAGCCGCTGTGCTTTTTGTCAAGCTAGAGTACGCTAGTTCACTGAATTTCAGTTGCCAACATCTTGACGTGCATTAACACGTGTTTGATAGATTGGCGTCATGCTGTTGTCACATACCAGCTGTAGTGCTGCTGGAGCCTCAAACACTCAAGCTGCTGCCTGCATATTGAGATGCACTTGAGTGAAGGCTGGTGGACAGCCATCCGGTCTAGACTAAGCAGCTCCTCTCTTATCAAGATCAAAGCACATGTTTGCACTGAAAACTGGAAAATGTGAAGAGATATGCTAGGCATGAATTAGTAAGACAAAATGTGAGGTGAAATATAAAACCCAAATACCATGTGGAATATTTAGTATTTTCATATAAGCTGCTGTTTTCTGAGCTGAATGGTGTATTTGATGGAATCATAGTAGGTTGAGGATTTCTTTCGAAGTAAATGTCTCTGAAGAAAAAAAAAAGGCATAATGTGGCCGATTGGTTTCAAACACATCCACACTCATCCACTTGCTCTACAGTCTAGACCACAAGTATCCACTCTCCTCAAACCTGACCGTGACATAGAAGTCTGAAATAGACGCCTACTTAGACATGACATCAGCCAGTGTTTTAGCCAAACACACACGCACTGTACATGTCTGCAGAGCCAAATGACCTGCACTTACAAGTCTAGTGGGGAAATCTCAGGCAGCTGTGTGACGGCAGTGAGGACACAGATGTAAAAGCGCAATGCATGTTAAAAGCCTGCTTCCAGCAGTATCATACCACCATTCCCTTTCTAAACAAATGTGTGCATGTAAAATATGCTTTTAGAATAGAATACCTAACAGAAAACCTGCTTTTTGAAAGTGTTAGCTCTGCTGAAGGATATGAGAGGATGGCTTTTACAAAAACGCTTTTTTTACTTTTAGCTTTTCCAGAATGAATAATATTGTGGAATCATGCCAGTTTGCATATCTAATGTTTCGGTGTGTAACAAATCATTCCGCAGTTTGACCACATAAAATCGGTTTATTTTAATTATGCATAGGAGTCTTAAACTGATCAAGAATTGAAGTGTCTCATGAACCGAATTAATTGGTGGCTCATCAGATGCTCTTTGAGTCAACACCTATTGAAGGATAGGCATTATCAATGCATTTTTCTAACTACACCTATTTTGGTCTCTCAATGAACAGCAAATGTATGGGATTTTGCAACAAACAAAAAAAAAAAACTGGTGTAACTCACAAAATAAAAGTTACGTTTATTGTTGAACAACAAACTCCACACATACAACAAACAGGCCAAGGTAAAACAATGTAGACAAAACCAAGTCAAAAGAAACCAAAACTCCTTTTCTTTGGCCTAGCCATCCCATACAAAAACTAGTTTATGGTACAACTAAAGTTCATACATAAAATTTACTGGAATGCTCTGAGTTCAATGACTGTTGATTTTATACATGTTGTCTTTATGTTGAAATATCAAGACATGGTCAAACAAGTAAAATTTCTATCAAGAAGCACCGTTTTGGTCACAGGAGATCATGATAAAGTGGCTGATCTCTTCACAATATGTACAAAAATATAAAATGTAAATAAAAATACAAACAAATCCTTGTCTTGCGTATTTCGTTGTGAACGCTGAAAATCTGAGTTGTGGTCGGTTCTCTAGAAAACTTTTAATTGGGGGTGAAGTTGGTTGACATGGGGGACAAACTTGAAAATGACCATGTTTTATGTATTTGAGTCCTTTATGCCACTGGCTCCAACAGTTTGGGTTAAAGCGGAGGCGTCTACACCTGCTCAGCAATATGAAAATCCTTTAATCATCTTTCTTCTGCTTCTTGGGGTCAACATCATCCTGAAGAAGAAAAAAAAAAAAAGGTTTTATTAAAATGTACTATGAAGACAAGAATTCAGTATTCTTTAGGCAGCAATTCATGATTGTACCTCCTCATCTTCATCGTCATCTTCAGCAGTCCGTTTTGTTCCTCCACCTAGCTCATCATCATCTTCATCCTCGTCCTCTTCATCACCTATAGTAGTTGACCAGTAGCCACATGATTAAAACCTAAACTAATTTGTCACGTCAGAAAAATGTGAACACCTTCTCAAATGTTGCACCTACCCTCTCCTTCCTCTTCCTCTTCCTCATCCACCTCATCATCCTCTTCATCATCAATTTCAGGCTCTCCATTCTCTTCATTCTCCTGTTCACACAATTTCGAAAAGGTCATTGTAAAAGTGCATAATCTCAATGAAACTCAAGTAGTTCGATAGTAGAGAGGTCAAGAACATTGGCCAAGCATTCATTTACCTTTCCATTAGTGGCATCTTTTCCATTTTCCTTCTCCTCAAGGAGCTTCTTCTCCTTCAAGTCCTACATTAAAAAAAAAAAATTGCTTTTTTGAAACATTTAACTTCGTCAGACTGGAGCCATCTGTCTCCAATAGGCAGAGTCGATGCAGATTACGACTGACGTGAGCAAAACGCCCCCTATGCGCACAAATTGAAATTGCATCTCTAATGACGTCCCTCTGACATTGACGCCTCATTGGCTGCAGCAGATAATTTAGCTGTCAATCAACGACTCCTGCTCCCGCCTTTTACCGAGTGAGCTCGTCTGTAATCTGACACTCAAGTGAGATTCGGCGGCTGTTGGTATTGTAAAAGGTAAATCCAATAAACTACCATATTTTGGCGTGCCTTCCGAAAAAACACCAATCAAGATGGATAATTCAGAAGCACTGGACTGTGGTTCAGGGAGTCGATGCCGAAATCTAATCAAGGACAAACGCACACGCACGGCTTTCACGAGCTGTTCATTCCGAACACCACAGAGTTCGGCACGCACGCCACCACCGTCACGTTAACCAGGATTTAGTTCGCGCAGTCGCAGAATTGACAACTAGGCAAAAAAAACAACCCGTCATAAACGGCATGATTTCATGGGCTCTTTGAATTTGCGTTGACGGCTTTGGTTCAGTTAAAGCCTTACCAAAAGCAGTTAAACGAGCCTTACCCATGCGAACGTTTTCATTAATTCGTTTATATAATCTTTAGCCCTTAAGCCGTTTATCAACCACATCAACTAGGACCGCCCCCTTAAATTCACCGACGTCTCTGGCTTCAAACTAGTAAACCAACAAGCCCACGTTGCAGTCACACATGGAAAAATATCAAGTCGTCGGAAATATACAACGACAGCATTAGACAGATTATTCAATGTTTGAGATAGCATATCAACTGTGAGATTAAAGGGCTTTCGCGTACGAGACATAGGCTACGGCACCGCCACAACAATGTCTTAATATTTGAACGTCAATCGGTTCGAGTATAACATTTCTGCACTATATATATTTTATTTTTATTTTTTTTTTACCAGAAAACGTAATTTGCTTTGAAATCCGATGCACTGCAGCGTCTAACGTTATCCAAGTTCCGCGTATCGGCTGCCTGCATCAGAATCAGTCGTTATCGGACATGGAGTTAAACCCGAACAGCGGGAATTCGAAGTTACTTGATGTCTGCGCTTCTTTAATCCCATCAAATGGGTTACCAACTCGTTTTATTATTATATTTGAGATTTCCTATCGATTGATGCTTCAAACCGGCAAACTTTCAGCCATCGACCGATCTAACGCGTCCTCAAACCTGCCCTAATGTCTGTTAGCCACAAACTACACGGTAATGAATGGGGGATTTAGAAGTAAACGAGCACTGTGCCTTTTTAACCCAGCATTTTTTAGAGTGTGAGGTCCATAGTCCATGGGGGAAGTCGTGGCCTAATGGTTAGAGAGTCGGACACGTAGCCCAAAGGTTGCGGGTTCGAGTCTCGTACCGGCAGGGATTGTAGGTGGGGGGAGTAAATGTACAGTGCTCTCTCCCACCTTCAATACCATGACTGAGGTGCCCTTGAGCAAGGCACCGAATCCCCAGGGCGCCGCAGCATAAATGGCTGCCCACTGCTCCGGGTGTGTGTTCACTGCTGTGTGTGTGCACTTTGGATGGGTTAAATGCAGAGCACTAATTCCAAGTATGGGTCACCATACTTGGCCACATGTCACGTCACTCACTCATATCTAACTCAGATATTCCAATCACATCTGTGCTACTTGTTAACTTTTGGATTTTTCCTAATCTCTTACATTTTGAATGAACATACGCCTATTTTAATTCATTTTCATAAACCTTTAAAAAAAAGTGTGGTGAAAGTGAACGTAAAAAATATAGGCCTGAATATAGACATTACGTCTATAATTTGTGGGAAAATGCTTGTTCACACATTTCTGCTTATAGTGTGTACCTTTTTCATTTTTTGAAGTGGTTGAGCTCAAATTACTTTATGGTCTAACATAAATAAAGTGCAATAAAGGATTTGGAGTATGCAGCAGAAAGTGCCTGAAGCCAAGGAGTTTTTATATAGCTGATCAGTGAAGCACACTCACCTACAGTACATATTTAAAGTGCTACAACTCATATAAATGTATCCTATAGGAGTGATGAACAAGCAAACAGTGAGCAACAGAAATTGCCACACGATTCTTCATTAACATTACTTGGTCGACTGAAAAGTGGAACCAAAAGTATCGAATTTATTAATATCCCAAGAAAAAAAACGAAAAAATTTATATACAGGTGCATCTCAATAAATTAGAATGTCATGGAAAAGTTCATTTATTTCAGTAATTCAACTCAAATTGTGAAAATATATAACGAAATAATGTAAGTCAAAGGTAGAATTTTGTTAAAACCATTATGATCTTACTTTAATATGAAACTAAACTCTACATTTTCAAGTATGACAAATTTCTACTTATTGTTTATGAATGTAGCAGTATCTCTCTTCTTTTAATAAACCTCTTGCAGAGAAATCCTGATTCTCCCCCTAAATTTATTTTGCCCTCTTCTCCTGATTTACCTAAACTGTTTGCAGATACTGCCCTCCTTTATTCATTTGTCGCACATTGTCTGTTGTCTGGGAAAGTCGGATCATTGCAGTCAGGGATGTTATTCTAATGTTGAGAATAGTTCATAGAAGAGTCGCTGAAATATTTGTCTGACTAAGATGCAACAAATAGTATCAAAATATGAAACATTTCCCTCCACTGGACAAGGTTATTTTCATTCCCAGGACATTGAAGAAGTCCTCTCCTCAGCTGCAACACACATTGTGTAATGAAACTATAGGAATGTCACAGGCATAATGGCTGCATTGTGTATTTATTCATTAGTTTTAATAAGAAGCCTTCACAGTCACATAGAAAACAAACATAATAGAGAGAAAAACAGCGACTGGGCATCAGGGACAAGAACTGAGCTTATTATACATAAGTCCTTAGAGCAGAGAGAACAATTGTGAGACTATATTTTTCAGTTTGTCCACAAAACCACATTTCCTCACAGAACTGTCACTAAAACTGAGACTCTGAGACACGTTCTGCCCATCAAGCACATTAAGAGTCAATTGGTGGCTTATAGTAACAGTTGAGATATTGGAGCAAAGGATATTATGGAATGCATAAAGTATCAGAGCAAATGTATTCGCTACAAATGTATGCTCCATCCCACCAGCTCAGGTCACTGACTAAGCTACGCCTTGTTGTTTCTTAAAAAAAAAAAAATATATAT